AGAGTATTACCTGTGATATAATACAGTAACAGATTGCGTGTGACTGGCCTCTAAGACTTGTTCGTGACTGTACCTCGCCAAGACTTACGCATATGCCCAATGGGATTTCCCTTTCCCTGAGAGTCATGGGGGAATCGACTCTAAAACCCTTATAAAACGAAATCATTCCGAAACTCGTCCGGGACTGTTACAAAAGCAGTCCGATCGTCTCGGACACTTCCAAATATGTTCCAGGACAGTCCGTCAGCAATCCGAGTCCGATCCCGGACTGTCCGAAAGTAGCCCTCGGCACGCAGGACTGTCCGTAAAAAGTCCGATACTACCAGACAGTCCGTAATAAGTCCGGTAGTCCGGTCCGGACCGTCCGAAGACAGTCCGACAATCAACCCGGGTCGTCACAGGACGGTCTCGAGCTGTTAAAACACAAAAGACTTGTACATTTTTTGTGAAAATTGGCAAACTATATCCATTCAATGATTTTAATAAAATATGAAAATTGGTTAAATCCACCTATTACCCATATTCAACTTCCTGCTGAGCACTGAAAGCGCCAGGAAAATTATCGGACAAAATTTTATTTTATTTTGTGCTGGCAATTTGCCTCTTTAAATTTGAGTAAACTAAACAGGCATATTTTATGTTTCAAAAAGGTCGTTCATCATGACCCGAACAGAACATTTCGTGCGATGCAAAAGCATTTGCCGAAAACCGCATGACGATGCGCTGATTCATTCGTTGTGTACAACGCTCTTCTCGGAAGAGATTCTGAGCCCAGCTAAAGAGGCTCTCCTGTGTCGTTTCTTCTCAGCCGTCAGCGTAGCTCAGTTGGTAAGAACGTCGGTCAAGGGACCCGATGAACGACAGGTGAGGGAACGAATCCCGCTCGTCCAGCTTTTTTTAAAGCCGGTTGGACCATTCGGACTAGTCCGAAAGACGTCCGGTCGCGGCCTTCGGACAGTCCAAAAACTTGCTGATTTGACACATTTTGGTAGTATTGTCGGCAAGGTCCGGGATGTCGTCTCGGACTGTCCCAGGACTGTCCGAAAATTGGACTGATTTCGGTGCAGAATATTTTTATAAGGGAAGCTGATCTATAATCGATTACAAAACAATTGTGATTTTCTAAAGAATTAGGAACACAGACATATTTACTTTTTCTCTACTGCAATACCAAACTCGTGATTAATATAGAACAGTGCCGCAGAGAGCGTCAGACGAACGATGTTGGAAAAGCGTCAAAAAGGCATGGGAGAACCGAGGGGAGAAAAGTACTGTTCTCCCATAAGAGAAATACCCACATCAGTGTTGACGTACTGTATCGGTTCTTGGTCTGACCGGCTGATCCTTCCCGTAGCAGCAGACGCCAGCTGCGAGTGGCAAATAGTAGCGGGCGCGGCATTCCCGTTGATATTTTTGATGAAAAAATTATAACCTTTGTTTCGGAGCACGAACCACTGCCGGCAAGTTTGCCTACCCACTTGCCCGTAAGGCGCCTTGATCCCTGTGAGTAGGCAAACCCACGCGCATAGTCCCGTACTCCGAAACACATGATATGTATTTTTTAAAGGCAATGTTTTGATTTTTGAACTTTCCGGTTTTTGTTTTTGTGGTTAAGAATATTAAGAAAATGCACCTTTCTTTACTCCTTTTATTACAAAACGTATTTGACAATAGAAAATATAATATTTCTAGGACTGGACGTATGTACACTTCTAAAATGATTTCAATCTCACAATTTCCTTATCACATAACGCATTTTATACTGCTCATGGGTTTTTCTCTTCCTGCACTTTTCAGATCTAAGGCAAAGCCCACCAGAGTAGCACACATAGGCCACTTAGCATCAGTTCTGCAGGCACAGTAGAGGTAACAGCAGGGTCAATAACATGGCAGCCTGAACCGTTGGTGCAGCACTGCCTCCATTCGGGTTCCCGGTGGTCAAGACGACACCCTCCTTAGGCCGAATCACGAAACTTTCCGGTAAAGCGGATCTGTGAAAGACCATACGTAACAAGTGTGAAAATAGTGTATCATATACCAACATTCTACCAAAATATTATAATTGTACACGTTTATGACCACATAAACACAGACACACACATAATCTTCTGTCGACCGCTGAATATTTTGGCAGCCATGGCTTATGAACTTGCGACTCTCGCAATTAGAAGCAAGCCCTCCTTTGGTCGCAAGGTGTGGGAAACAGGGAACGTATCACTGTGCGGGAAAGCGTACGAAGTAACATGGTGCAAGCATGCCGAAGACTTCACAGACAGGGACGCGTAATGTGCTGATATAAAACTTACCCTTTCGTAAGCTTAGAGTTAACACCTGCAGTGTACACTTTCAAAGCAGATTGACTAAGTGATGCAGATTTTACAGTCTCCTCCCAGCTACCAACGTTCACGAGGGTGATGTATGTGTCAGCGTCTTTTAGAGACCTTTTGATGCAAAACAGTATGTTGAATTTTGGTGTAAATGTTATCTTGCAAATAAAAAAAATTATTACCAAACTGACCTCGTGATTGCTAGGACATTCTCCCCAATTACTGCGGTGCTATAATCTCCGTTCTTCATGGTTTCTGTCTTTCTGGCTGAAGTGAGGTCCTTGTAGACGTTAATGTGCGACTTCGGGGTGGCAAGCTCCTTTTTCACGTTCAGCTCATAGTAGTTTGGGTTTGTTGGCATCCAAGTGGACGCGCTAGTGGAGAAGCCTGCGAATAATATGTAGATCAATACGAGTAAAGTAGTGGATTCTTTCCAATTATTGTCATTGGTTTATCACTGTCGCCGAGAAAGGCACCAATGGTCGCCTAGTGATTGTTCGTTGGTACACCGATAAACCCGAGAATAAACCAGTCGTTGGCGTTAAACATGCAGTTTGTGTACTGGTAAACGAAAAACAACGTACCTGCACTTGTTGTGTCGTCCCACTGCATCGGAGTTCTGCAGGGGTCGCGGGACACACGCAAGTAGCGGGTCGGGTCTGTGTTGAGGGCCTGCGGGTCCTTGGTCTGGCTCCATGAAATGAAGGCATCAGTCATGCCTAGTTCCTCGCCATTGTAAGTCATGGCAGTTCCGGGCAGCGTCAATGAAATCATGTTCATTGCGTCGGCCATCTCTGGGTAACGCGTTGCAACGCGGCTGTTGTCGTGGTTGCCAATCTGCAAAGGCGATAGAATGCACATTAGTTCGAACGTATTCCTTATTTTACGTTTTCAAGAAAGAGCAGGTAATTTAAGTCTTTGCTTCCACTCGCCACTAGTTAATCGTCCTAAATGATTACGATAGAGGGCATTGCTCACTCACCACCCAGTTAGGCCATCGCCAGTCTCCCATTGCCATCATCCAAGTGTCGATGGTTTTCTTGAAGTCAGTCGCCAGGGATGACTTGTTAAGGCTAGTGATGAGCTGGAAGTTGAAGGTGAAGTGTGCACCCAACTTCTCCTTGGTGCCGTAGTACTCGATGGTCTTGTCGAAAGTGGTGTAGCATTCCGTCATGATAACCCGCTTCTCCGCAGAGAAATTGTCAACGAGCTCGCGCCACTGATGCAGCATATCATACGTCTCGGGATAGTCCATGGTTAACGGGTGCGTGTAGAAATCGTAGTCCATCTCGTCGAGGTCAGGACTTGGGTTCACCGCTTTTGGCTCGTCCTGTGTGAGGTCTGCAGTCTCGAACAAGAAGGGCAGTGCATCGACGCGGAAACCGTCAACGCCTTGCTTCATCCAAAAGGTGAAAACATCCTGTAAACCAGCATGATTGGTTGGAGAAATAAAATAGATTTTACTTTCACATCCGGTAGATTGAAGTATAAAACCCAACAAAAACCATACCTTCATTTCCTGGACGACGAGTGGGTTCCGATAGTTAAGATCGGGCTGCTTGACAGCGAACTGATGAAGGTAATAAGCTTTCCTCTCCTCGTTCCACTCCCACGCAGATTTACGGAAGTGTGATACCTTTCATCAAAAAATACGGTGATTTAGGGGAAGACCAAGATTCACACGTCCGCAGTAAATTTAACTTCTCTGAGAGCCTACCCAATTATTTGGTGGATTGGGTTTTCCGTCCGCTCCAGTTCCGGTTCCAACGCCCCAAACGTAGTAATCCTTGTACTTATCATCTCCCTTGGCCGATGCTTTGAACCACTCGTGTTCGTCGCTGGAATGATTGGGGACGAGATCAACAACAACCTTCATTCCTGGGAAAATAGAGGAATTACGACAAATATTCCACAACTCCTGCTAAAACAATAATCTCTGCTGATTTTTGCTGTTGTCACTCTTACCTAAATCGTGGGTCTTCTTCACCATCTCAGCGAAGTCATCAAGGGTTCCATAGTTCGGATCCACGTTTTTGAAGTCGCTAATGTCGTAGCCAAAGTCAGCTTGAGGTGAGGGGTAGAACGGAGACAGCCAAACAGCAGTAACGCCAATGTCGTGCAAGTACTGGAGCTCGGAAGTTATGCCTGCGTGGGAGAGATAAAACATTTAGTTGAGTTGAAGGTCTACATAATGATTCCCTAATTTGACTTCTTTGGCCGCGAGGCGTCGGATCCCGCGCCACACCTCCGTAATGTCACTAAGCGGCGTGTGTCAGACCGTGACGGGACAAACACGAGGCCAAGGCCGCGGGCTGCCGGCCGGGCCGCGAGTACAGTCCACTAACGCTGCCCCGCCGCAGATGCGGTTGGGCTTTGGTTTGGCAGGCTGCCCGCTGCCAGTCTACGCCACGCGTCCGAAACACTGACCACACACTTCTCTATGTTACCCATGCTTGCACCTATATAGGAATAACATCAAGGAGTTTTGCTTGGAACAAGTAGTACATTATCGGAAGAAGTTCTGATTTCCTAATAGGGATGGAGTGAGCACTCTATGCTCCAAAATGAGCGCTTACGGCCCTACGGCCACGCCCCCCCCCCCGATCCCACAATTTACTCACCTTTGATGTCTCCGAGACCATCGCCGTTCGAATCCTTAAAGGACCTTGGGTAGATCTGGTAAATGACAGCGTGGTGCCACCAAGGCTCTTCGTTGTCCGCGGCTACATCCTTGACGAGCACCGTCGACCCTGACGAGGCGGAGGTCGCCGACGACGCTGGTGAGGATTCAGCGGTGGACGCCATTAGGGCCAGCAGCAGCAGCAGCCCCAAGGGCAGAGCTGTTGGCAGACAGAAGCGGTGTGCTCGCGCCATCCTGCGAATAGTTGTGACACCGCCGCCTAGGTCCGCGCAGCCTTTATAACGATACGCGAAACTGGCAGTCACGTGGCCAGCCAAGCCCCGCGGCCCGGCGCCGCGTAGTGAAGCCTCGGCCCAGTGCTTGTTTGTCCCAAGTCAAGTGCCCCCGGAGAACGACAACACACCTCTCAGGACGTGGGAGAGGCGCGGCCCCACGGACCATTTGCAGATAGTGTTTCAGTCCGCCTAGTGGAAGAAGACCACGCAGTGGCTACGGGCCTGGTGAGAAGCACGACAATCATCGAAGGAGTCATCAACGGGTCCGATTTGAGGCATTGCAAAGTAGAAACTACAACTTTATACTGTGGCACTGTGTCAAAAAAGATGTCACTAATGTTTTTTGTGCAGCAGATTTAGGATGTCTAATGGCATGCAAGTAAGTATAAGTAGCGTAACTGCAGTACACAGAAGTTGATATGGCTGGATGTTACAGAAACTCACCAGCAGAGCTCGCTTAGGGTGCCGGGTTGCCCGTACAAACGCCAACTGCGCTTCGAATACAGTCGTCCACGCTGCAGTGCTGGCGGATGGCCGCGACGCGACGCTCTGGTAACCTCCGGCATGTGGAGCCACAACGAGCAGCGAACAGCCGGGCCACATTGGTTTATCTCGCTGCAGCGATGCAGCCCAAAACGAACGAAACTATAGAACGTGACGCTACAAAGCCTAGAAGGCTGTCGCGGAGAAAGAAAACGAAAACTTTTCGATATCTTCCACAGTAACGGGGCCGCAGGCGTAGTGGCAAGCGGCCAGCCGCCTGCGACGTAGGCAGGCCCGCGAGCCGCCGTGCGCGCGGGGCGGTGCAGGTGCCTAACGCTCGGGCGCTACACAAGGCAGAGCTTGTTTGGACAGTTCGTTGTTTTGCTGACACTGGACATAGGAGCACCGAGTAAGGCACCAACATGAACAGAAATCTCGTCAATGTTATTGCTCCGGACAAGTCTACCGTGAAAAATGCTGAAAAGGGACCATTCTTTATAAATATTAACGCACTTAAGGGGGCAGACCTGTGAATTACGTGGGTCGACAAGAGTTTGGAAGAT